GTGTAACAAATCGAGCAAAGGGACGTTAACCGAGGCTCTTTCTTGTTCAGTGTTGGAGTTTGGAGAATGTCAGACACCTCAGCCCAACGACACCTCGGCTCAATAACAGACAGGTCGGCCAATCTATAATTTTATATGACACCTCGCCCAAACAGAATTTCATTTCAACATATCTTTAAATCTCTTATGTCAGGGACCTACACTCCTTGCGTATGTAGAGATCTATGTGAGAGGATCAACAGATCTTCAATTTTTCTAAAATTAAGAAAATTCAAAATCAATCAAATGGGATTAAGCTACGCTTTTGGAGCGGGAGAGTGGGTTAATAGAGATGAGAAAGGAACATCTTCATCACAAGTTCAGTAAAAACATGACATAACTGGGCATTATCCTGTTATTTGCTTCGCGAAGCAAATAAGTTTGACGTCGTTGACGTTAACGTCAAATTCATCTGTGAACATGTATTTCACTAATGTATACATGTACAATGATCTTATGATGCAAAATTTTATTCTTCGTCTTCCTTTGTGTATTTATCGTATTACCTCTTAAAATATATTTTTATTGCTACAACACTTTTTTCTCTTATATAGTATATGCTTTTATTCCGTCAGTATACACACAATATGTAAAATCAACAATATTTATACGTATAAAGCCGTATAAAACTTGTAATGTCGGGTTTTAGTATACCTGTATTATTGTTATTAAAAAAAATATTTCTTTGTAATTCTGGCTTGTCTATGAGTGTTTCGTGCATAGTGAATACTTCTCACAGGATAAAAGCTTTCACAGTGAGTGGCTATTTTTAACTTCCACGTACGAATCAAGGCCACTCTGTATAAACTAGTTTTGCACAAATTGAAATACGGAATAAACTGTATTTAATATCAATTTATTCCGTAAAACAAGGTGTTATATTTGCATATCCACTGCTCTCTCCCACTATGAACACCTCGGCTTCTACTGCGTTCATAGGAGTATAGACGCAACTGCTTCTACTATGAGTGCAATTGCTCTATCATACTCGTGTAGAACATTCTCTACTACACTTATATACCGTGTTGAGAAGTATATATATGTAATGTTTCATAAGAGGAATAAAAATAAGTATTTAATAATATTCTTTGAAAAAATGGAAATTCAGAATATTTAAAATTGCTGATTTATATCTTTAAAAATTCAATTTTGGTCAATGTATTTAATTGTATAATAAAACTTTTTAAAATTATAGAGAACTGCCATATTTTTATTTTTTCGTATCATGCATATTTGTACAAAGAACGATAACTCTTCACACTTGGGTAATAACATTCAGAAAGAGAAAATTTCTTTAACTATAGTATATCTATTTCAAGAATGATTTCAGCTATTAAAAATAAATAGAAAAACTAACTAGAACTGTCCAATAGGGACAAATACCCCCCGCTGGGTTTTTCAGAAAAGGTGCAAATTCAAAAATACTTTATGGATCTAGAGATGTTCACAATTTACTTTAAAAAATTTGCAGTGAAATATAATTGCTCATCATGTTTCTTAATGAATGAAACGGAGGTGCAACCAAATGAAACATCAATACTAATACTGTAATACATTGTAATTCCATTGTAACATTTTTTTTTCATTTAATTTTTCTTCATTACTGCATTAAAAAAATATATTGCAATTATGTGTTATGTCACTCTGCAAACTGATTGTTGAAAAAAAAAACATTATACAAAATCAAATTAATCTTGATATATCAATTTGAAATGCATTTTGAAAATAAAGAACTGGTCATCCAGTAATGAAGTGTTTTGACAGACAATAAATTACAATTAAGAGAAGAGAGATCTTTAATTCTTGTGCCTTATTCCCTGAAGATTTGATAACACACACTTGATAAGAGATATGCCTAAACAACTTCCAACACCAAAGGCATTAATTTATCTTTAACTGGATGCATGTCCAGTCATTATTCCCAAGAGACAAATGAAATTACATTATCTTCTGTGCAATGTAAAAACTGTTTTTAACACTTGATGTTTCCTTTTTTAAAAAGTTTTTATGAGTAGTTTTAAGCTGTAGTTCACGTTTTTGTACAGATATTCTAGATTCTATGTCTCAAACCTTATACATGAGCCCAAAATGAACAAGTCAATTAAAATTTTAAAAAACCTATAAAATGCAGAAAAATGAACAAAAAGAGTTGAAAATTCCAGGTGCACAACTTCATATGGTGAATAATAATTGTACAAATTGTCAGATTAATCCTTGCAATAGTTTCTGAGAAACGGTCCAAACAAAACCCCAAAATAAAAATGAAAAAACACCTGTAAAATTCAAAATAATAATCCAATCAAGATGAAAAATATCAGGTGCACAACTTCATATGGTGAATAATATGTGTACAAATTTTCAGACAAATCCTTCCAATAGTTTCTGAGTAATGGTCCGGACAAAGTCTCGTCTACAGACAGAGGGACAGACAGACAGACGGACAGACGGACATGGTGATTCCAATATACCCCCCCTAAACTTCGTTTGCGGGGGGTATAAAAAAAAAAAAATTATAGAAAAGCATTCTGGAGTAATAATCATTATAAAAGCATTCTCATTTTCATCATAGTGTTAAATTATTGATTTTTGTCAGAGGGTTTTAATAACGTTGATCGATGACGTCACATCTACATCAAAACAAAAATGTGATGGCAGCGCTGCTTGTTTTCAGATAACTGTGTTTGAGAAGGAAATACTTTATAAATTGTTTGTGATTTATTAGAGGAAAGGAGCATTAATCAGATTTACTGATTTTAAAGCCGTATGTTTTTCTTTACTGAAGACAAGAAGCTGCGTCCTTATGTAAGTCAGGATTTCCTCTGATATTCTTGAAAAAAAATCAAAGAATGCAAATATAAGTAATAAACAACGATTATTCAGTGAACATGGCATTATGAATAGCAATAGCTCTGCTGGCATATTTTCCATGATGCGCTAGCGCGCATCATGGAATATGCCAGCAGAGCAATTGCTATTCATAACGCCATGTTCACTGAATAACGTTGTTTATTTCTTAAATGAATATAAAAGTACATAATATGGAATAAAATCAGATAAGATTATTGTTTATTCCGTAAAGGTATTCAAATGTAGATACGTATATCATCACATAGATAATTTATTTGCATTATAATATGCTATTTGCTTTATTCCTTAAAGTATAAAGGGTTAGACATATATTAATGAACACACGGAATAAAATGAAATGGTAGTAAAGAATTGCTGTTTATTCCGTAAAAGATTGGAATATTCATATGCATCATCATACAGGGATTATTTAGTTGTATCCTGTAAAGGTATATAAAGCATTACATTTAAAGAACTTGCGTCGTATATATAGTCCTGTTATTTGCTTCGCTTTCTTTAAAAACTTTGTTTTCTTCTACTTTTGTCTTCTTTAATCTTGATCCCCCCAAAAATACCAAGCCCCATTTTTATATGTTTCTCCCCAAGAAACCCTTTTCCCGGGGAAATCTTCCCCTTGGAGTGCTATTTAGAATGAATTGCCTCGGTATATATATAGTCCTGTTATTTGCTTCGCGAATTAAATTAGTTCTAGGGTTAAATGTACATTTAAAGAACTTGCGTCGTATATATAGTCCTGTTATTTGCTTCGCTTTCTTTAAAAACGTGTTCTTTTCTACTTTTGTCTACTTTAATCTTGATCCCCCCCAAAAAATGCCAAGCCCCATTTTTATATGTTTCTCCCCCAAAGAAACCCTTTTCCTGGGAAATCTTCCCCTTGGAGAGCTATTTAGAATGAATTGCCTCGGTATATATATAGTCCTGTTGTTTGCTTCGCGAAGTAAATTAGTTCTAGGGTTTAATGTACATTTAAAGAACTTGCGTCGTATATATAGTCCTGTTATTTGCTTCGCTTTCTTTGAAAACGTGTTCTTTTCTACTTTTGTCTTCTTTAATCTTGATCCCCCCAAAAATACCAAGCCCCATTTTTATATGTTTCTCCCCCAAAGAAACCCTTTTCCCGGGGAAATCTTCCCCTTGGAGAGCTATTTAGAATGAATCGCCTCGGTATATATATAGTCCTGTTATTTGCTTCGCGAAGTAAATTAGTTCGAGGGTTTAATGTACATTTAAAGAACTTGCGTCGTATATATAGTCCTGTTATTTGCTTCGCTTTCTTTAAAAACGTGTTCTTTTCTACTTTTGTCTTCTTTAATCTTGATCCCCCCAAAAATACAAAGCCCCATTTTTATATGTTTCTCCCCCAAAGAAACCCTTTTCCCGGGGAAATCTTCCCCTTGGAGAGCTATTTAGAATGAATCGCCTCGGTATATATATAGTCCTGTTATTTGCTTCGCTTCTATATATATATAGTCCTGTTATTTGCTTCGCGAGGTGTAAAATTAGTTCTAGGGTTTAATGTACATTTAAAGAACTTGCGTCGTATATATAGTCCTGTTATTTGATTCGCTTTCTTTAAAAACTTTGTTTTCTTCTACTTTTGTCTTCTTTAATCTTGATCCCCCAAAAAAATACCAAGCCCCATTTTTATATGTTTCTCCCCCAAAGAAACCCTTTTCCCGGGGAAATCTTCCCCTTGGAGTGCTATTTAGAATGAATCGCCTCGGTATATTTACAGTCCTGTTATTTGCTTCGCCTATTAGTATACGGAGATTTTAAAATTAGACGAAATATGTAAATTTAAATTTTACAACATTAGTTAATGTCGTAAACATGTTCACAGATGAATTTGACGTTAACGTCAACGACGTCAAACTTATTTGCTTCGCGAAGCAAATAACAGGATAATGCCCATAACTGAATAAAATAATATAAAATTGGAGTAAAAATAACCTAATTTCAGCATCTCATGATCTGCATCTGTCATACCTTCAAACTCTGGCGGGAAATGTGTCACTGGAGACGTTCCGAGTGTATGAGTTCTCGGTCATTTCCGTTCCGGAAATCGCGATTGTTTTGGTCACATGATTTCCCAATGGTGGGAATTCTACTTTCACTTTAGTCACTGTCAAGAAAATGTAAGAAAACCATTATGTCGAGCGACAATAACGTCGAAGAATCGACGGAATACTCGAAGTATGGAATCAAGGATGCCCCCAAGCCAGCGATCGCCACTCCTCTGGGTCAGGTAAATGAAATCTAGACAGGTAGATTAATTATTACTACAGGTGGGAGTGTTTACCTTATCACAAGGCCTATCAGTCAGATGTAAACACGTGGTTTATAAAGATTTCCAAAGTTAGACTTCAGTTTTTTCGTCTAACATTATAAACATGAACTGGAAATACAAAAAACTCAGACTGATTATGACAGGGTAAGTACTACGGATTATATAATCGATAATCAAACAAGGAACTGGGTTGCATATGTTATACATCTTGAAGAGAATGTTGAGTCAATCTTGTACTTCCATATACAAGATGGTTTAGAAAACATTGAGCAAACTGCATCTTTGCTTATTTCCTTGGAAAAAAATCATTTGCAGAATTATTTTTTTAAAAAAGTATATTAAATTAAAACACGCTTTCAACGAATTACAAGGGACAAACAATTTTGCTTTGTTATAAGCATCCCTGAAGTTTATAATATATTATGAAGTCACGGGTAATGAAAATCACTTTGTAAGCATCAATTTGTGTTTGATATATATAACCATGTTTTATTAACGGCCGTCGAATATGTACATGCATGTAGCATATTATGTGCAGTCGCCCAAGTGGTGCAGTGGTTAGAGCCTCTGCTCTAGAGTTGTGAAGTAAGGAGTTGATCCTTACGTCGTGGGTTAGAATCCCACTAAGGGAGGTGGAGACTGATCCTTTGGATGAGACCGTATAAGCCGAGTTCCCGTGTCGCAGTAGGTGCTGGCACGAAAAAGATCCTCCCTGCTAATGGCCTTGAGTGCAGAGTATAGGACAAATTTTGCAGCTCTCCACCGGCAAGTGGTGGTGTCTCTATATGAGTGAATAATTCTCAAGAGGAACTTTAAAAAATATACAATCAATCAATCATGATATGTGCATTAGCCACTTATGTTTTTGAACATAAATGTATTTAATATGCATTTATTGTTATTATATAGCTGTAATGTTTAAAGAAAATATAATCTCAGCAGATACATTTCATATACCGAGTTTGATAATTCTCATTTAACCTCCTAATATAAATCCTCTATCATGCATTGATCACGCCGTGACAAGTAATGATTATCTCCCTTTCAGACCAGAACCTGCGCAGGGCTGGATGCAAAGGAGACCATATTCCTGGTGGTCAGTATTGCAAATATCTTGACAGCGCTGGGGCTGACTCTCTATCGCTTCATCACCGTCATTGACGACGGCAAATCAGACAGCTCTGATTTTACATTCGCACTGATTCTCATAATAAATGGAGGTAATATATATTGTTAAAGACTTGGTCTGTCACAACAAGTACCTGTTCTTTATTATGATATAGATTTTTAGCTGTGTGAGACATTAACTAGCACCTGTCAAGGATGATGATCTGTAGTCTGTCATGTGTCACTGTGAGCTTGTAAGCAGTCACATGTTGATCATCTTATCCAGCTTGTGACATGTATTAATTTATTTATATTTTGATTCATCTTAATCATTGATACAACATAGATTTCTGTTCAGGGAATACATGTACACTGCTTTTAATTGGCACTTTGCATTCTCAAGTGAAGAGAAAATATTTTATAATGCTTGAAATGTTTTAGAGTTAAATGTGTATACTGCACTATTTTGATCAGGAAGTTAAAAGGTGTAATTGTCATTCTTAAAAGTGGATATAATGTAAACAATATAATTTTCAAGTCAAGTACAGAAAAAAAATCCTTCAAGCCGTGATGATAATATGCACCCATTTACTTACATGTACCATTGTAAATTTTACATGTTTATTCATGGACTGAAAATCTTGTTAGGATAAATGTAATTTTGTCCCCCGCTTGAAAAGTGGGGGATATTAATTTGGGTTTGTCCGTCCGTCTGTCCGTCCGTCTTTCTGTCTGTCTGTAACGCTTTCGTTTCCACACGATATCTCGAGAACCCTTTGAGCTTTTGCAATGAAATTTAGCATAGCAACTCCCTATGGACTAAAGAAGACCCCTATTGATTTTGAAGTCAAAAGGTCAAAGGCCAAGGTCATAAATAAGCAAATTCTCTCTGTTATAACACTTTTGTTTCCACACGATATCTCTAGAACCATTTGAGCTATCGCAATGAAATTTTACATAACAACTCCCTGTGGCCTAATGAAGACCCCTATTGATTTTGAGGTCAAAAGGTCAAAGTTCAAGGTCGTAAATTTATACATTCTGTCTGTGTGTAACACTATCATTTCCGGGCGATATTTCAAGAAGATTTTGAGCTTATGCAATATAATTTTATACTAAAACTCCCTAGGACCTCTCTCACCCCTCTCAAAGTGCCCTGCCCCATTTGTTTTATTAGTATTTATAGTATGACATGTCGCTATTTTTAGCACAGGGGCATGAGGAGAGTTATTGCTTATAAAACAGGTTCTCGGCTGACTTTATGTTCTTATTACATCTATTAGAACTGTTTAATAAAGGCTAAATAAATCAAACACCATGGATTGTGTAAAATTTTGAGAATACCGAACATGAATATATAAATGTATGTGAGTTTAGTTTTGTATATACTTACTCGCACGTAAGGCGATTCCGTGGTCTAGGGGTATGTCTCTCGCTTCACATGTGAGAGGTCGCGGGATCGAATCTCGGTCGACCCTTTTTTTTTTCTTTTTTTTTTTTAAATACTTTTTTTTTTTTTACTAAATGATAGTATTCAGCATGTGAAATGAAAAAATTTTGAGGTTATAAAATCATCATTACAGTGTGATAAATATTCCATATAAAAAGAATTTTCTATACACATAATAAAGAATAAGCAATCAAATCTTTATATGCACATTGACATACATGAATTTTATTTGCTTCAGTATACATGTATACTTTTAATAATTCTACAAATTCAGTCAGGGGGATCCGACTTTTTCCCTAAGCGGGGGACATGAATTCTCTGAATTAGCTTGTTGACTTAATTTTTGCACTGCATGCAATAGCAAACTCTTTGTAAATAAGTACATATACTTATTATTATTTTTTTTTTGGGGGGGGGGGTGAATTCTTAAGCCCTCTTGTACGACTGAGGTCAATATATTTTATTTATAATTTCCTAATTTTTATCTTCTCTATATACATGTACCATGATATACTTAATGTAAAATAACATATATTCGTGGGGTCAAATTTTTGAGGTTTGAGAAGGAAATATTGTTTTGTGTGGATTTGATTTTTAGGTTGGAGAAGTGTCAAGTAATTATAATGTCTTCAGGTTGCCCGCGTGGCGCAGTGGTTAGAGCACCTGTTCTAGAGTCGCAAAGTGAGGAGTTAACCTTACGTTGCGGGTTTGAATCCCACTGTGGGACGTGGAGACCGGTCCTTTGGATGAGACCGTATAAACCGAGGTCCCGTGTTGCAGTAGGTGCTGGCATGAAAAAGATCCCTCCCTGCTCGATGGCCCTCAGTGCCGAGTATAGGACAAAATTTGCAGCTGTCCAACGGCAAGTGGTGGTGTCTCCATATGAGTGAAAAATTCTAAACAGAATGATGATAAACAATATACAATCAATCAATCTAAAAGCATATGACATTTCCCAAGTATATTTTGAGGTCAGGTCATGAATTCGAGGGTCTCTCAATACCCTGTAAACAACAAAAATTAACCCCATGAAACTTAGAGATTTTACAATATTTCCATTTCTTTTTTTTTTCTCAGTGATAACTCTTTGAAAGTTGGAAGAGTTGATTTCTTGATAATTCTACTGGAATGTAAATTAGGAAGGTTGATAGGTCAGGAGCTATAGGGGCCTAATATGCATGCAAATCTCGTGCGTATCTGTCTCTGTGTCTGACGCTTAGGAGGCCAAATATGCATATAATTCTCGTGCGGCTGCCTTTGTGTTTGATGTCAGTGGGCGAGGACTATTGAGTTTGGCATGGGAGTCCTCGTGTTATTTAAATCTATGTCTATATTTTTAAAATCTTAATCTACGATTTTATTTCACAATGAAATGGAAATATAAGGAATCTTGGCCCATTATGCAAATTATCCCATGTTTCCCACTATCGTTGATACCCTGGCATACTATAACAGTGATTCCTTAAGTATTTCTTCTGTAATTTCCAATCTAATGTTGTGAACATGTTTTAAGTCTTCTTTCAGTGTTATGCATATTTTATGTGTTTATTTTCCAGTCCTCTGTGTATTTTTACATGTTTATTTTTTAGTGTTTTGTATAGTGTTCTGTAAATTTTACGTGTTTATTTTTCAGTGTTCTGTATATTTAACGTGTTTATTTTTCGTGTTTTGTATATTTTATGTATTTATTTTTCAGTGTTCTGTATATTTTACGTATTTCACGGACTGCTGCGAGAGAAGAAGTATGAGTTATACGTCTTGATACTGGCTATCCTTGTCGTACTGGTGTACTGCGTCGTGGAATACATCGTCAATGTCGACGGACGGAGTACTCTCAAATTGGTAAAGAGTAGTCTATAAATAGATCAAACTATGTCAAGGGACGGAGTACACTCAAATTGGTAAAGAGTAGTCTATAAATAGATCAAACTATGTCAAGAGATGGAGTACACTCAACTGGGAAAGAGTAGTCTATAAATAAATCAAACTTTGTCAAGGGAAGGAGTACACTCAACTGGGAAAGAGTAGTCTATAAATAGATCAAACTATGTCAAGGGAAGGAGTACACTCAGCTGGTAAAGAGTTGTCTATAAATAGATCAAAGACAAACTTACTGTCCATTGAGAGAGAGGGGGGTCCGATCTAATTAAAATTAGATGTTAGATCCGCTCACATACTCGCTACGCTACATGTACCATCTAACAACTTCCCAAAGAGGGTCACGTCAGAAATCAAATTTTATCTAACCAATCAGATCGTCTCCTGCAAAATCATAGTATATTTGTTGAAACAAATTATTTGAGAGTTGTTCCAAATTTGATCTCTGACATGACTCTCTTTGGGATGTTGTTAGATGCCAGCAGATCTAACATCTAAATTTAATTTGATTGGGGAGGGGTCAGTCCTTGAATGTTTCTTATGTTTAAATTATATAACAGATGACAACCAATTATTGCAATTTCCAAGCATATAATAATTAAAAAACCACTTCCAAATAAGTACACAGTACAGATTCTATAACCTATGTGGCAGTATATCCTCTTTATTTTGTGTATTCTGTTGTTGTTTATAATCAGCTGTTTACCTGTATGTCTGACACAGGTGCGGATGATTTTAGCCATTGTCCTGGCTCCCCCCAACATCGTCCTAGCCTGGTCAGTGGCCAGACACTTTGGTTATCTAACCTTCAGAATTGTCGGAGCATCCGAATACCTTCAGCGTAAGTCTGATTAACGCAATTTACAGTTAATTTAACAGGTAAAGCAATGGCCATATTGACATGTTATGGTATTATTTATCCATGTTATTAAACAAGTTTAATTTGGTCTGTGACTCTACCATATGTGTAAAAAAATATTTCGAGGGAAAGTTATATGCTGTTATACATGTTAAAAGCCTAGATTACTATGTGTTAATCGATCAAATTGAATTGGAAAATGCATGGTAGGATTTTTTTTTTTTTTTGCATTTTCTAAATATTTATTTGAGATTTACTAAGATTCCCTACGTAATATGATTAACGTTGAAGATGAAGTTTGAAGAATTATTGTAGGTCAGGCATTAAAGACACATTACTTTTAGAATTTAGAGAAATTTTTGTGAGCATTTTCAATTACTTTTTCTCACATCTGATAACCAGTGAATTTTGTTAATAATATATTGTGCATCTCCCACTTATAACAGATTTTTTTAGATCTATACAAACAAGCCTCCATTTTCTCCTCCATGTTAAAGTTTGACATACAAGTGACAGTAAGTATGATGAGATTTAAAACAGTTATAACTTAATTATTCATGAATTTTAACAAATATTTCATTTAAAAAAAATCAAAAATTTTAGAGGTTCAAAATATTTTTTGAAAAAATCAAAATGTTATATGTACATGTAGGAATATGAACAGAATATAACATGACAAAATGTAATATCTTCACAGTAATGGTTATCATCTCCTAAAATCTAAATATTTTTAATTACATGTCAAATTATTTTTCACAATAACAGATTTTTGATGACTTACTTCTTTTACAAATACTTTTTGCTAATTAACTCATAAAATATCAAATAATTATCTTACAATTGACAATTTACTGTCAAAACAACTTTTTTCCTAGTAGAAATAACTATATTTTCCAGGTAGCTCAATTTCCCTAAATGTAAATTTTAAATGATAACTATAATTTTGAAATTTTTTGGCTTGCTTCTACCTGTGAAGATATGAAGAGTGAAAATTTTTTAATTTTACTCATGCAGTCACATTTCTTAAATTGCAGGCAAGTTTTGTGATTTTGGTTTTGAAAGATGGAACAAAACTTGACGTGTTCCAGCAGGTGGCGCTGTCTGTGGGTCTGCCGTACTCCGTGTTGTGGAACATCTTTGGTTGGTTCACTGTACGTTAACTGGTTTCCATCAGTAGGGATCATATGAAATGAATACACTCTCTTCATATGTAAATTTTCACATATAGCTTGTTCTCTTTTTAATTTTGCTGAACGATAATGAAACAGATTGAATTTTAGGAGCAAAAATATAGCCCCTTCAATATTTTTAATCTGATTGTTTTGGGAGTTTACCGGTAAATGAAAACATAAGCAGTCTGTCTGAGCTCTCTAATTATGAGGTTGTCTTTATTAACGTGTATCCAGGTAATAATATTTTTTTAATACATGTAGTTAAGAAGAGAATGGAAGGCCGCTGCGTGGGTCTTTGCTTTCCTGGGTCTGGCCAAACCTACATACTACATCTACCAAATCATCCAGGTAAGTTAGATAACTCTGTCTATCAAATCATCCACATAAGTTAGATAACTGTCTACCAAATCATCCATGTAAGTTAGATAACTGTCTACCAAATCATCCATGTAAGTTAGATAACTGTCTACCAAAAATTCCTCGTACTAAGTTATAATTAGATAACTGTTTTGTGGACTTTGTTTTTGGAATTGATATGTAAGCTTTATTTTAAGGGATTTTTTTCTTCAAAAAGAAGATGAAGGTATAATTTTGAAAGAAAATTCATTGCAAAGTTGAAGAATGTAATGAAAAAGTCAAGTTTTCAATGTCCAGGCAATCCTCTTATGTCTTCACTGGCCATTTTTTGTTGCCTATTACATGTTCTTTTTATTGTGGATAAAGTAGCCATATATTTTATAATTCTTACAGGAATATCAGAGACTGGATGAAAAAGACACGGATAAAGGAGAAATCCTGGTCTACTCCACTCTAGTAGCAGGTAACTGTCACATGGTCAATGTTAAAATATTTATTATAAGTAAAATCTATTAATAAATACATTTACATCAATCTTTTCTTGGTTAAGTACTCTAGAGATATGGCTTTAAATGACAAAATTCTGTTTGTTTTTAGATACAGATCTAGATGGACTTTTGGTATTACCCCGATGAATCATTTCTTTCTTTTTTCTTTAGGAACACTGGGTTTACTGCTGTGGATATTAATTATGATAGAACTGAAAACTGTCTACACAAATTTTGGGAAAGGGCTTAAAGAGAGAGGTCAGTTTCTATGCATTTTCAATTTGACAGCATACAGAGTAAAATTTTATTGTATATTTACTAAAAATAATGCATGAATTTAATACGTATTGAAATGAAGTTGGGTAATTTAATCTATAAAATTGAGAAAGACTGTTGTTCTAGTTAGTTGTTTATACTTTATGTACTAACAAGATAGACATTCAAGTTGAGATCAATAGAAGTCAAGCCTCACAATTGAGTGAAAGGTTGTTGAAATTACGTAGAACTGAAACTTAAACCATAACATTGAGGTAGATAGGACCATCTTCAATTAGGATCCAATGAATTTCTTCTGCTATATTCATTTGTATTTTTTCTTTACAGCCTTTGATGTTTTGGCGACAGAAAACACCAGCCTTATCACAGGCAGAAGAGTACATCGCTGACAGGCTGGACAGGGTACACCCATAACATGGGAATTACAGAGCGGATATAGAGCATAATCACCAGTCGATGCCATATTTTACTGTTTGTCAACATGGCTGGTCCTTCTAAAAAAACATTATTTAGTCACTATTCTTATGCTGGGTACTTTGTATGGTTTATTCCCCGAACGTCTAAAACCTATATAAACAGTATAATTATCACACTCAATTAAGAGGCCATCTGAGGGGCACAGGTAGAGTTTACCTGTGTTACCTGTGTTATCTTGTATTCTAAATCAAATATATTTATTTTTCTGATAAAGTATGAAGTATAAAATATGTACCAAACCACAATTTATTGATTAAATAACTATAATAATTTATTTCAAGACACCAAACAAGTGTTTTTTTCATATGAATATTTTTATTTTTATTTCAGTACATTTCATTACAAGCACTATGACACACTGTATGTAAAGTGATGACAAGTTTATTATTTACAAATATTTAATTCTTAAAATACACGAAACACTTTGAGCACTCTTCATTAAAATCACATTTTAAGTACTATTTAATATGCTTTTCATATCTTATATTAAT